GGACGGACCGGTCGGTCGGGCCACCAGTCAGCCTCCAGTGAGCTAGCCAACCTCTCTCTCTCCCTCTCGCTCGCTCTCTCGCGTGCACGTAGAGGCGCGCGCGCGCGGCCGCGTCCTCTCACCTATACGATAGCGTGCACACCCGCGCGTGCACACACATACATGCACACACGTTCACAAACATAGACAGAGTGCGGAGAATCCACGGACACGCGGCTCGAACGTCGGTGTGGACCGAGTTACACGTGCACATGCACACCAGTCGCTCTCGTTCTTTCTCGCTCCATCCCTCTCCACGAACTTTCTTCGTCGCACGCCCGCCTCGATCCTGCGAGGAGAGTCTCTATCCAGCGAACGACACGAGAGGGAGTCCGAGTTCCTGGCTCGTCCCTCGCGGCTGCAGTGCGTTCCCAAACATCCACGAGACAACCTCGAGGTGTCTGCACGTACGCACGCACGCACGCATCAGCCGTTCAAGGACCACGAGGAGAGAGGATTCGCACGATTCTGATACTCGCTAAATAGAATCTATCGTACGATACACGATCAGAGCCACGTCCGTTACCGCTTTTATCGTTTACTTTAGCTGGAAGTTTCGAACATCGAAAGATAGGTTTTCCCCTTCGTCGTTTCGAATCTCGTCTCCGGCAAGTGGTGTCCCGCGCTCGATCGTTCCATCTTCGTGTAAAATCATCTTTTTCGAACTATCCTTGAACTTTGTCGATTCGCAAGCTCGAGTTTCCCGCGCGTGTTTCGTCGTGTGTGATTCCAAGAGAAACCCGCGAGGATCGTGCGTGCGACGGTGGACCTCGTGACGGGCCAAGCGGAAACGACGACGTGGTAGAAACGTAAGCGCAATTCGAAGATCGTTGCTCCTCGGGTTTGCAAGTCTTTTGTCGAAGAATATTCCAAAGTGAAGCTCGAAGCGATCCATCCCGATGATAGAGAAAAAGTCCATGTTGCTCTGAGATTCGGAGGAAAAGAATCTCGGGGTCGAACGATAACGATCGACGATCGTCGAGTGGTGCTTCTCATGGGAAATGAGTCGAAGGAGAACGCGTGGTGGATGTCAAGCTCGATGGAGAAGCTAGCAGCGTGACGAGGGAAACCGTGATCTTCGCTACTGGTCGAGATCTCGCGAAATTACGGAGGGACGTGTGCTTCGTGGCTGGAAACTGAGAGTGTCGACGAACAAAGGGGAATAATCGAGCGAACTTTTGCCGTGTGTCGAGAGAACTTCGGTCGCTGTGTGATCAGCTGACGTGAATCGGTGGCACAGTTGGTGCAAGGTTACCCGATTTCGAACTCGAGGACACGGTGTGCGCGAATGAATCCTGTTGATCCAGGCGTGTGAAACAGGAGAGGGTTAAAGGACGGGCGGTAGGGAAAAGGGTTCAGGGACGTGTATCGACGAATCTCGAGCGTGTAAATAGGTGTACAGATGGGTCGAGGACGTCGACTTTGATCGAAGGAACGTCCTAGACGCATTCTCCTTTTTCCTTCCTCTCGCGTACTCATTTTCGTACCACGGTCCTTGCCATTTTCCTCCAACGATCTACGTGCTAGCACTATAATAATAACGTAATAATAACGTAATAATAAACCAGGATAAGTCGTTGCGCTACGACTTAAGGACCATCTCGCAACGACGTTGCAGCGACGATTTAATAAATCGAGCCTATCAGAGTTATAGAGAACCAAAGAGATTCTAAGTAGCAACGCGAATTACGTGTAAATGTGTATGTATAGAACGTTTACGGACTTAAGCTGGTTCCGCGATTCGTCGCCGAGTGTGTCTGTGTGTGCGTAGAGTTATATAAAATAATCTGTCTGTCGCGGAATATTTTCGTTGTCTCGCCCGTGGTGGGCGACGTTCGATTCTGTGTTTCCATTCGGTTACTAAACAGGACGAGTAAATTACGAGTTTAATCGTAAACAATTCGCTGAAGTCGCAAGTCGGAGCAGTACGGGTATATATCCAGCGCTTAGCCTTTTTAGCCGGGGCGCGATAATTAATTAGCTTGAGGGCGCCGTTCGGACTCGGGAATAAGCAAACGTAGAGCCAAGCGTGTAGGAAAAGCTACGGGAAGTAGGGAAAGCTCGACGATGATATAGCTCGAATATCGAACGTCGTAAGTGACACGCTACACGACCCGTCTTGGTATCAATTTTCTCCTCGTCGATAGCTGCCGAGTAGATTTCGCGATCCAGTTCGTTTTAAGAATCATCGTCGGGCGATCGGATCGCGCGGAGGCCGTTGTTCGCTTAATTCGAAAGTGTCTGAGCTTTAATCTAAGAGGAAGGTAAAAAAGGGGGACCAATTTTTCACGCCCATTCTCAATTTCTATCTTTTCCTTCTTTTCCATCTTGGCCGCTTTTCTCTTTCTCGTCTCGCCGTCTAGCTGCCTCCCTCCCTTTCCCTATCCGGCTTTATCTCCTGAATCCAACCAGCCAGCGGACTATCCATAAATCTCTCTGTACGCTCTTTCCGTATTAACTCCGTCATCGTGAGACCGGCCGGAATACCAGGAATACGAAGAGGGAGTCGCAACTCACGCAAGCAATAAATCAAGGGCCAACCTACCAGCGCGACAACGTGGAACAGGAAGGTGGTACGTAGGCAATCACCAGGCGAGAATCGCCAAAAAATCAGATTCTAAAAGACTTTGGCCCACAACGAGCGAGTGATTCTACACCCTTGTTTGTCGGAGGGTGAAACTATATACAAAAGTACATACGTTTCTCACGAAGAAAGCGTATAGCCGAGAATATCCAAGTTCCCACGAACAATAGTTCGATACAGAAAGGACTGTGCGTCAAGCAACGAGTAGAAAAAGCAGCCGTTCCTTCCTTCCTTCTTTCCTTCCTTCCTCTCTATTCGAACCGAAGAGAGATCCAGGAAAGAAGGAACGGATTATCCGCTGTCGCCAAGAAGCTACACAGGCCACACGCCATTGTCCGTTTAATGACGATGACCTCATCCTGAAACGGGCATGACGCCCCTGGCCTCGAGATGCGACGAGACCACTACCATCCTGCTGTTGCTGCTACTCGAGCTTGCACCCGGTGCACGCTGCTACTCGCGCGCGGCCACCACGTCCGCCTCGACTTTGTCGAGATAGCATCTACAGTCGACGGCGAGGGTGCGAGTGATGCCGCTCCTCGGCAGCATTATGACCATCGACGCCGCCGGTAGTCCGACTACGGCGTCCACCAGCGTCTTCGACGAGAACATGACGTGGTCTCGACCAACCGGTGGCACTACGTCTTCCACTAACGAGGCCCACTCGATTGATAGCGCGATCCTCACCGAAGAGCAGCAACTGCACCGGCTGATAGCCGCCGCGACCACGACTCACGACGATCGTGGAACCACCCGAATCCCCGATCAAGTCGATCAAGGACCAGACGTCGAACAGCGATCCTCCGACACCGGTAACGACACGGCTACCGAGGCAAACGTTCGACAGGTGGCACCGATCGAGAGAACCGGTGATTGTGCCTGCGCTAGATTCCGTGCTGGGGATATCGTGTCGGGTACCAGATTGCCCTTCCTCGTCACCGAACAGTTGGGCGAAGTGGAGGTCGCTAATATCAGCGAGGAAAGCACCGTTGCTTTCGATAGTACCACCGGTGGTGTTACCACCGACCAGGACGACGTGGAAGGTCTGAGAGAACTGGAACTGTTGTTCGGCTTGGGCGGCATAATGGAGGATATCGGTGGATCGTTCAACGATTCTTTCAACGAGAGTCTCTTATTCCCGTGTAACGGCAGCCTGTGCAACGAAACGTCGTACGTCGTATACGGGGAGAGCTTGTATCCATCCGGATATACGCTGCCACACATCATTCTGGCATCCATCCTGGCCACGCTGTTGATGATCGTGATCGTCGTGGGGAACATGCTGGTGATCATTGCCATAGCCACCGAGAAAGCACTGAAGAATATACAGAACTGGTTTATAGCTAGCCTAGCCGTGGCTGATTTCTTTCTGGGCCTGGTAATTATGCCTTTCTCGTTGGCAAATGAAATTATGGGATACTGGATCTTCGGCTATTGGTGGTGTGACATTTACTCGGCCATGGACGTGTTACTGTGCACCGCCAGTATCATGAACTTGTGTCTGATAAGTTTGGACAGATTCTGGAGCATCACGCAGGCGGTGGATTACCTAAAGAAGAGGACTCCGGCCAGGGCAGCTCTGATGATAGCGCTCGTGTGGCTTTTGTCTGCTCTCGTTTGCATACCACCCCTATTGGGCTGGAAGAGACCTACGCCTGCTGAAGAATATCCCAAGTGTAAGGTAAGAGATCACCTTTTTTTTCATTTCACGATTAAACATATTCGCGTTCATCGTCCAATTTATACGATATTTGACAGAAATGAAATTGAATAAAATCTTATAAGGGAATAAAGTAGAGACGGAATAACGCGCAAAGGTACAGATGCTCGAGTCCTAGTCTGGTTAGTTACTGTTTAAAATACAATTTACTCGGTTGCACTCGAGCAAACAGGAGCGGGTAATACAAGAGTTAATTATTTCCTCGAAACTGGTTGTTAGGGGTCGGGCGGTCGTTGCAGATGACAGATTACGAGCTCCTGTTTCATCTTCCAGACGCGAAATTAAATCGGTCGTAGCTAGAAGGAATCTAGAAAGCAAAAAAGACGACGAAATTTCTTCGCGATCTTTGAAACGACTTTTAGCGAAATCGTTTATCCGGCCGAGTGGTAACCATAGGTACAGATCGTTCTTACTTGACCGTATAATTTGTCCACTTATCACCGACGAATCCCGCTTGAGCACTTAATTACTTCCAATAGATGGATTCATTGTTCGAGTGGGAGAAACGATGGACCGGCAAATAGCGAGAATCAGAGATTCAAATTTATCGGATCAATTCGAGTTCCTTTTGCGATCGCGTACGAATAACGGGGTTGCATCGTAAACATACGAAGCTTAGACCAATTTTATTGCCATACCTATTAGATCGTTTACTCTTAAAATCAGACCTTCATTCAAATCACGTAGAAAAATAGACACGGTATACTAAAAAATTTCCTCGCACATGGTATTTTGTCGGTTTATACTGGTCACACAATCGGGCGGTCGCCTTTTATGCATCGGTAAAACTCACTTTCATGCCCAACCCCTCGAAGTCTGCTTATGTCGGCCTCCACAAAACGTTCTGCAAGATTGCAACTCTATCCCCCGATACTTTGTGCGCGTTACTGCTGACTTCTCTACAATTCCATCGTGTTTCTCTTTTTTTTCGCCATCCCAATTTCTTTCTTTCATTTCTCACTTTCTCCGAAAACACGGTTCCATTGTAGCGCAACGAGTTCCACTTCCGCAGCCAGATCCAATCGAAGTTGCGGATCGAAACGCGAATTTTCGTCGACGTTTCGAGGAACCCAAAGGTTTATCGTTCCCGTTGATCACGTTGTTTCCCGCTAATTGGAAGGCTTCGCCGCTTCCTCGGTCGGTTGCGCGCGCGGTTTAATTAAGCCTCGCGCACTCGTGACTGGAACGCGAACTTTTTAACGGAGCGAATTTTCAGAAACGAGCCACGCAACTCGAAACCAGCCGGCCGCTATTAATACGCGCAATCGAACCTCGCGAGGCTACCTGTTGTTGCCGGCTGCAACGATGACTCGGCCAATTCTGGCTTCGCAATGTTAATAACCTTTGAGATCTAACGACGGGAAAAAGGTTTCGTATTTCGCTTGTTAACCATCTACCAAGCAATTTTGCCTTTTGTTCTCTTAACAACGTGCCCAAGGCTTCGAATTACGTTCGTTTAAATTTCGAAACCTATTACAATTATAGAAAAATTGTTTTAAATGCCTACGTCACTTTTTTGTAGTCTTTTACTTAAACAATTATCGATAAATGTGACGATTATAGACGAGGAAGCTATTTAATTTAATCGTCATTATAATATCGAATATATGAATTTTTATAGTTTATATTCCAAATGCAATAATAATAACGTGCCAATGATTATAATAATTTCCCGATACTCGTTCAATGTTGCCTCTTCTGTCTTCGTACCTATGAAAGGGAGCGTATGTTACTATGCGTTTGAAAGTTAACGTTACATTATCCCCAACTAGTACGACTTTTCGTTGGGATCAGTCGGTTCTCTATAGAACTTGTTACAAGTTTCTTCGAGCAGGCATCGAGAGAAAGCGAAAAAGTCGCGTTGTAACCGAAGTTATCGCCTGTGGTGTTCAAAGGAAGCGTATCGTGACGGGGCGAGTCATTAGGTACACGCGAATCACGAACCGACGTTCGTGAATTTCGCGCGGCTTGAAGGATGAATAAGCGAAGTTGGTATGACTGAAGAGAGTGTAATAGGAGGAGCAGGTAGATGAAATCGGGTGACAGGGAACAGGACGCCGCGCGACGCGGAATCAAGGGGCTAAGCTTATCGGGCTAAGCCGCGCGTGTTGACTGAAGTCGGCATTAAGTTCGCGCGATACGGTCGAGTCTCTCTCGTGTAAAATCCGGCTCGCGCGCCATTAAGCGGCCGCACGGCGCCACGAATACGTGTAATGCAAGAACACCGTTCTGTGTCGCGGATCTGATCATATCTTATTAAGACAATTTTGTTCTTCTGTTGATTCTATTAGCAGACTTGTAGCCTGTCATACGTTCTCTTAACGAAATATCAGATGTTTCCTGAAAGATAGACGAGGTATCGGCTGTCTTGAATTATAATTATATCGTGATGTAATGATGATATTATCGTGGTGTGAAAGAAAATCGTGTCACGGCATTGTATATCGAATATGAAGACTGATGATACGATTGGATTTATGATAGCTAAATGACAAAATGCTTTTCTTTTCATGTAAAATTTATGAGATTTAACTTTAAGAGATTTAAAGTTACGATCGCCTTTGTGCACAAACGCAGATCTCTTCAATTATAATCTCGTAGCACTGGTTTGAAATTTTCCTACTCACTCGGCTCTGCGCGATAGATTATTGCTACTTCCACCGGTACAAGGGACGTAATGGCTTGGTCCCGCGAGGGAAGTTCTCAACTACGAATGCTTAACGAAATGGCAAAGAAAGGAACAGAATTAAGCGGCAAAAGCAACCAGGCGAACGCGCTGTCAGAGCGCACGGGAGTGGAAGAACGGGAAACGCCGAGACTTTTGCTCGTTTCCATCGCTTTTTTCCTCCTGGTTCAGCAAAGGCTGGCAAGCTAATCGCGTTAAAAGATTGAAGCGCAATCCTTCGTCCCTCTCTTCGGCCGTCTTCTATCAGCAAGTATTTGTCTCTGTTCATTTGTCACCGCTTCGTGGAGATTCAACGACAAGCGGCGCGGTGGTCGCGAGATTGTCAGCTTCGTAATAGCGGTTCTACCGCGAGCCAGCGTTGAATCACGCCGGAGAAAAATACCGGCGAAGCCTTGAGGAAGATTCATTTCCGTTTCTTTCTCACCCTCCGTCCTCGACGATTCTTCAGAATCCTCGCAGATACGAAATTAGCGCGGTACGATTGTGCGAATATCGCTTAGAAACGTCTTCTTACCGATAACTGGCGCCACGAAATGGCTAGCATCTTCTTTCTTCGAGCCTAATATCGCATTCGCCAAGAGCTGTAGTCTGTTATAGAGAGAATCGTTGGAATAAAAAAGCCAGCGTCGTAGTTCAGGTGGCGCCTTTCAGAGAATTTTCGATCTAGCTGTGGTCTAGCAGACGCTGGTCTAGCGAATAGAATCGTCGCAGAAGATGGCCAGCTTGCCAAATAGCGAAACAAGAAGGAGACACTGGTATTATAGCATTGGCAAAAAGCAAACGTTATCGCGTAATGCAATTACGAGACCGGTTTATGTTCGAAGAACGAGAACAGGTTTCGATAAAAAAGTGGAATTCACTGTTTACCGGGTCTTTTCGTCTACAAGACCCGCGACAAAGAGGTCGGTGGTTATAAAGCGCTTCACAAAGCTCGTCAAGGAAAGCTGAAGCCGGAACTTAAAAGGGTGGCAGGCTTCTGGTCGCCGGAATTTGTGCTCGATTAAAGTGTTTCGAACATAAAAGCGCGTTGCCGCGATTCATCCGTAAAGTCTCTTAACTATCAACTTTTCAAGGAGTGGAAATAAAGTTGAAAGTATCGTTTCACCTCGACCCCTGTTACATCGTTCATTAGTCCGTAATTAACGGACTTTTTATGGCCTTTGAAACATTCGCAGAATTTATAATGGTCCACAGCTTGATACTTTCGTTGGTCAGTCGAAGCAAGCGATGAGTTCGAGCAAAAAATAAGATACAAGCGACGAATTATTTTCCGACAGAGGAATAAACCGGAGATTTTAAGAAGAAGGGGAAATGTTCCTTTAGGGATTAGGATTTATTGTGTCTTCTTACAATTGATCCTTTACGGAACGTGCATTAAATAGTAGTCGTTTCCCTAAGAAACTTCAGGAAAACAGTGTGCAAAGCAAGAGGTAAGAAGATTCAAGAGCTTACAGGCTCTTTAAGAAATTAGATCCACGACTGAAACTACAGACCTGTTTCCAAATCCAACCACTCTTCTCGTTTTCGACAGTTTATCAAACAACTGTACGTGTACAAGATGTTTCAGGAGTGTAGATTAATGAAATAGGCGATGACGGGAGGAACATCTTTTTCATTACGAGCTATAGAAATCTAGTTATCGATTGATATATTCAAAAGTCAAACTGACCAATTCCATTTTTAGTATATCTTTTAATTTCTCTGCATGTGGTCAGTACTCAGCTTCCATAAATTCATTCGTAGCATTATGGATAGCATAAACGTAAATTTTAAAAAGTACTATTTGTAAAATCACGACTTTCCTCTGCATTTTTCCCACATGCAATTGATTAATATTACTTCTGATCAATTTATATCTAGTAGGCGAATATATAGGCGAATCTATATATAGGTGAATACTCGCCAATAGACAGTCAGCTTCTACATTGCATAGTTTGAGAGTTCTGTCGCTATAATGAAAAGCAATCGGACCTGTCACGTGAATATATTTTCTTAGGCAAGAAGTGCTCCTTTAATCATCCAGCCTATTATCCCCCACTTCATTGAGATATACTTTGGAAACACCACGTACATTTCACGTCTATTCATCACTTGGTCGAGACAACCTCGCTTCTTCTGTCTTGTCATGAAACACGTTTTCGGATGCTGACGCGACGTGGAAACCTTCAAACGACTTCGTTTCGTTCTCGCGAAGTAATCGCGGTATGGTAGGTTTCGAAGGGTTTGTTAAGCAGCTCGGATAAATAGCGGACCAGACATTTGTTTAAGTTTCGCA